GCCGAAAAAAAAAAAAAAAAAAAAAAGAAAAAAAAGAAAAAAAAAATTTCGCCAACGTATTAGAAAATAAGTTCTTCTACTATTAGGTTTAAATTCTTCAAATTCAAAAGTAAGTAAAAAGTTACTTATTAAAAAGTTATTTTAAATTTTAGGGTTGTAAAGGATTAAGTTTGGGTATCACCTATTTAATTATTGAAATTACTTGAACTAGTTAATTGTTTATCTAAAAATTATATTATATTTCAGGCGACGATATGAATATGGGAACAGCTTGCCAACCGAGTTGATTTTGCATACATAGTTCTCTGAGTTGAAAAACTTATATATTTTTAAAAATCAATATAGTAATTATACTATTATATGATATGCAATTTGTGAATTTCTCGTATAATTACATGATTATTATGAAAAGTTCTTTCATTATGATATAGTGAGATCATTAAAGTTGTACATGGATTACTTATGAATTAGAATGTGACATGTGATATTGAGATCGATCAGAAAAGTATCTGTGAATATATACTTCTTCTAGTTTACAAAGGGGCATTGGCCATGTTTTATCTTACACGGAAGGATCTTGACTGAACATTGGTCTTGACGGTGTACATATAGTTCACAAAGGGGCATTGACCGTATTCTAGCATTGATTATTAGAGGTCTTGAGATTGACTTTTGTTCATGGAGGGGACCACAGGCCCACAACGAAAGTTCTTAGTTCGAGAGGTGGATTAAAAATTTAGTCAGAGAGTACATTTTTTGTGGATTATAGGTGGTGTAATGAGACGATATTATGAATTTCAGCATTATGAGGATGTCTCACATCTTGATTGTCATGATTATATGCAAGTTGTGATCTGTTAATTAATATAAAATTGATTTCGATGATAATGCATAAATGAAGATGTTTATTTATTATCGAACTTCTCCACTTACTGAGTTATCAACTCATATATTTTGTCACCATTTTTCTTATCAGGTAGCAATTGAGTATATGGGTATCTTTTGGAGTTGAGCCTTTGATTTTGAAGCAAAGCCACACAACAGAATTTGCTAGTATTATTTACTTCATAGAACATGTAGTCAGTGTTTTGGGATGCATGTTCATGTTTAGATGTGATTTTGCATTACTTGTAAATAGTTATCAAGATCATTATATATTGTGTTTCCATATGTACATTTCATGTTATTTTATTGGTAAAAGTTGAGATTTTGACTTATCTCTATTGTGTTATGTTATATTTTGGAATTTGTGTATAGTTGATTACAAGTTGGTTAGTCCTATTTATAAGGGAGATAATGTCGAAATTCTATTAAAAATAATTTATAAAAAGTTCCAGATTTTTCACTAAGATTTAATCACTGGAACACTCAAGAACTCATACCCTAATCACGAAGGATGAGGGATTCTCATGAAGAGGAAGTAGATAAATAGACAAAAGAAACCCCAGAAATTCTCTCAAAAGTGTGCCAGTCAAAGAGTCACCATAGGAATATAAAGCCAGAAGCATCTAGAACCCTATCAAACAGTCATCAAAGTGCCACATGTCACAATCCTGTTAAAGACCTCCGCTAACAAAAGTGTAAATCAGAAACACACTTTCTTCACATTTTGGAAGCACACTTTTATAAGTAATGAGATCAATGGTTCGAAACTCAACAATCTCAGCCTTACTTCCAAAATTTTTGACAATAGTGCAGCCAGGAGCTTCACCAGCTATTTTTAATTTCATTTGATCCGATACATGTTCAGTCAATGAAAAGAATCAACAGATAAAATCTTTAAACAATTTTGAAACTTGTTTAAAGGTATCACTTTTGTTACCATATTAGATAGATTATACAATATAGGAATTTTATTAATTTCCAGCAATCCCTTAGAGATAATATATCTGACAATGATATTCGACATCAATGTGTTTGTTTCTATCATGAAACTTGAGATTCTTACTTAAATTGATTTCACTTTAATAATCAGAATATAGGATTGAATGTGTGTCTACAAAACCAAGTTCATTTAACAGTCTATGTAGCCAGATTCCTTTTTTGATGGCATCAGTGGCTACAATGTATTCGGCCTCCGTGGAAGATTGAGCAACAATTTGCTGCAGCTGAGATTTCGAACTTATTACAGTTCGACACAAATATGATGAGATTGATCTCCTATTGTCTCTATACCCTGCAAAATCAGAATCTAAATATTCCTTTAGAATTACCCCTTCCTTGTTCATTCTAAACATTAAACTTAAGTTAGATGAACCCTTTAAATATCTCATTAACCTTTTCAATGCTTCCCAGTAACTCTCACTAGGATTCCCCATTAATCTACTCAAAACATTGATGCTATATGCTAAATCGGGTCTGGTACAAATCATTAAGTACATAACTGAACCAATAATGTTAACATAGGGAATTTTAGATATTCTTTCAAGTTCATCTTCAATTTTAGGACAAGAATCAAATTTTAATATAAAATGATTGGCAAGGGATAAAGTAACAGATTTACAATTAAACATGTTAAACCTTTCTAGGATAATTTTGTTGACCTAAAAACAAGCTATCAGATTCTTCATTTCTCATGATTTACATACCCAGAATTTTCTTGGTAGGGCCAAGATCCTTCATATCAAATTTTGATTTCAATGTGTTTGATATCATCAATTTCAGATTTATTGGCGCTAGCAAGAAGTATATCATCAACATAAAGCACAAGATAAAAGGAGTCTTTACCACCATTTCCTTTACAATGAAAACATATATCAAAATTGCTTCTATTAAATCCAAGCTTCACATCATTAATCTGCTTTGGGACAACACCAAAATAAATATAAAGTAAATCATGTTGGTTGCAGAAGATGTATATGTTTTCTTTTTTTATCTAAGTTCACATATATATAAGAAAATTAAAGAAAACTAATTTTGAGCTCGAAAACTACTTATCTGAAACTTGGAAATGGCCGTATAAGTCTGTATATATATAGTCTCAAACAGCTCGGATTGGTTCGTGTTGGAAATACGAGTAAAATAACTAATTCAAGATTAGCTTGTATTATTAAGCTCATCTAGAGCTTATTTAAGATTGTTAACCTATTAGTCTCATTTTAGTTTAACTTGTAAACAATCAAATAATCATATAGCCGTTTCTGTTTTTAGATTGGTTCGCATAGCAATTTTAGTTGCTATAAGAAATTCAGGGATTGTATCAAAAGTTTAATTTGTTTGATGGCATGTGCAGTTATGTTGATTTATTAGTATTGCAAAATATTAATGAAAAAAATTACAATCTAACATATTATAATGTCTAACCTTATTTACTAGGGTACTAAATGTGCATTCAAAAGCTAATCCCAAGAACCAGACATCATGACAAAATAGATAACTCAATTTTGAAGGTTAGCCAATTCCATCTTCTCCATCACATTTTGGTGAATTTAGCATTGAGAACAACTTCAAGCCTCAAAATATGAGTTTCATTCATTGAATCAATTTCTATAGGGTGGGTATGGAATAATCCTCCAACAACAGAATGAATAGCATAACATAAATTCTTAAATTGATGACATCCGTATACCTAGAATAATAGAACTATAAAAATAAAAAGATTCATATAGACTTGATTGGCTAGAAAGAGCAATAACCATTTCTTTTTTGAGTTCCATCGTAGAAGGTCTATATTCTTAAGAGAAATAACGACATCATAATTGTTGTAAAATTATAATCTTAATATATCATCCCAAGGTGGTATGTCAATAGAGAAGGGCAATCTTGAAATTTGACACTTGCTTAAGATTTAAATTTAAATCAATCAAATTGCACTTAAAGTTTTTGGATTATGATATTATGTCTTTGTTTGTCAGTCATTCTACCATATTATTTTTTCTAGAGTACTCATTTTCAAACACACATTTTTCATTAAAATAATATTACACATAAATAAAAAAAACATTTCCTTTTTTCTTAACCATGCATTTCAACATCAATTACTATTCCATAATACACTTTTTGAAATTAAAGGGACACAAACATTCCTATATAGTCATCTCATCTCAAAACTTAAGTTATTAGAGAGACATCACTTATCTGTACTTAAATAATGTTTTCAATATATCAAAATATTTTAGATTCATTTTTGGATTAAAAGGCATAATAGAATTACAAGGTTTATAAATGAGTTTGGCAAGATTCAAACTCAATTCTTAGAAAATAGTCAAAATCTAGTTAACATTCTTAAACTTTATTTGAAATGGACAACATTGAAGGCAATTGAAAAGGCAAAATATTTAGAGTTATTTTTTAATATTGAGTACTAGACGTGCCCTTAAAGTCTAGATCCAATTTCCTTTTAGCATTCATTCGTCTT